TTTAATCAAAAAAATATAATTATTTTCTACCTTGTCTGAAATGCTTTGTTTTTAAAAAACTTGATTGAAATATTTTATTATTTAATTCATTGTTTTAAACACTTAAATGCTTTCTTCCTTCTCTAAAATACTGTATTTTCATAAATATTAACTGAAATATTTTATTCATAGTCTGAAACATTTAATTGCTTACCTTTTTGTCTAAAATACTCTGTTCTTATAAATCTTTTCTGAAATATATTATTGCTTTATTCGTTGACTAAATTACTTTAATCTGTAATATTTTGATATAAATATTTCATTGTTTTGTTTTTCGTTTACAATATTTAATTTTTTTTTCTTGTCCGAAAATATTCTGTTTTTGTATTCATATTTTTAACTAAGTACATTTTACGTATTAAAGGTGGGCCAAGGCTCAGCTGTTTAAAGATATTTATTAAATATATTACTGTTAAATAAATTCAAGTTTCATATAAAAATAAGATTTATTCCATAAAAATCAAGTTTTTATTTAAACTAATTGATCTAAATTGACACAGTTTAAAACAATTGAACTTAATATTTGACTAACTGCTTTTTTTTGCTTTTCACCAATGCTCCCTTTTTATTTTTGCCAATAAATTCTAATAAAATAATTTGCTATCGTGCAATAAATAAAAAAAGCATTACATTTGAAACTCAACGCAGCAATTCAATTCAAAACTATTTAACATTTCTATCCATATCCTTCTATTTAACATTTTATTTTATTTTGTAAATGAGGTAAATGATTATGACCTCAACCTTCTTGAAGAAAAATATACTATGGCTGGTGGTTTGCTGGAGAAAAGTAATAATAATCATTAAATATAAAATTTCCAGACAATTTTAAATTTTAAGTGCCAAAAAAGTATACGGTTTTCGTATAATTAAGATTGATTTTTCTTTAACAATTTCGTAGAGGGCATAAATTTGTGACAAAAATTTCTAAACTTAAAAAACTCTATTTACAGTAAATAAAAATATTGCTTAAATTTCGCCAACTTGTTGAACAAGCCAAACAAATTTCCCACGATTTACAGCGTTTATTATAAAGAGTCATGAACAAGTAGATGCTTGAGTGAAATCTTTTCTTCACCAAACACTAGAAAGATCGCATAAAAGTCCGGAAAAACGCTTAAACCACGACCCTAGGGCGGCCATTACTGTCTCAATTTGAAAGGGAAGCATTCAATAAAGAACGTATACAGTGTAGAGCAACTATTCTGATGAACAACCTCAGTGAAGCGACAACGCGCCGTCTAGCGGCAGAACACTGCCAAAGGCTGTTGAAGAGCTATGCTCATTCACATAAATCAAAGAAGGATTGTGCTCATAAATTAACGCTGCGGTTTTTCGTAAAATTTATCTTTTAGTCTGTGAACGCGTTTAAGCTCAAACTATGGATTGCTCTCTTTTGTTATGGTTTCTTCTCTTTCTTTTTTTTTCTAAGTTTTCCATTGATGTTTTTTTCATTAACTAGGAGGTTATGTTCTGTCGACGCAATTTTTCTATTTTTTTCAGGAAGAGAAAAAAAAGGGATTAGATAATGAATAGCAGGTTTCATTTTTCATGCTTCTTCCTTCTTCATTCGTGAATTAATTTCGTAATTATTCGAAAATAATTCTATGTTAAAATTTTGAACTCGCAGTTGTATCAATTTTAATTGAGACAGTTTACACTTATGCCTAAGTACAAAGTATGGTTAGACAAAATCTTGTAAAATTTTGTTCCTTAGCTATTTTATTTTTGTCACCTTTGAAAAAATTTTACATTGGAAGTAAATTTAATAAGGAAAAAGATTTTTTTTTTATGCGAAATTACTGCCATGTCAAAAATTTACAACTCTATGCAAATTTAAAACAATGCAACAATACTGTTCCGAATGAAAAAGTTTACGCTACTACCAATATTAAAGGGGGATAAAAAAAAAAGAAGGCCTATGCAAAATTAATTCCTAATTAAAAATTAACTTTTGCTAAAATGTTTACAAATTTTTCTCGATAAAGTTTCGTAAAAACTTTCCTTTCAAATTTTTTGCAAAACATTTGCATTAGTCAAATAGGCTTAAAGGCTAATAATTTAAATTAGTCTAAAAATTACATTTTTAAATTGGATTCACTTTATTTAAAGTTAAACTATTTGATGCTAATCTACGTGAAAACTTGGTCAAAAAAATTTTGTAACCTATAAAAAACATAAGAACAGATATAGCTAAGATTTTAAGCTAAGTTCCTAACTAATTTTCATTCCCAAAATTACTTTTAAACATAAAATTTTATTGATATCGATACTTACCAAGACGGTTCTGTTTCGTTAAAGCACTGAGCAAACATCCTGAACGACTAGAGTTCAATCCCCAACGATGGCATCCATTTGCTTCAGATGATTGCGTCAGATTAATACACCCATTTGACTTAGATGAACGGATACCAATAAGTAAATTATAATATTTGAAAGGCGATCCATGCACATTGCTGACCACATTAGCAAATTATGCAGCTTGTCACGACATTGTGGAGCCTTAATCCCCTTGACCCCCTTTCTTGATCGCTATGAGCAGAAAACTATATAATATCGGTACTTTTGCGAAGTTGCTGCAATATTAGTGGAATTTCAAACTGCTCCATGTGTCCAAATAAAGATGAACCCTAGTATGATGTCTAATTAAGTTTAAGAATCGAGATAATATGGTTCAACTTTGCATTATTAAGGCTGATAGCATTATATTAAGCTTGAACGAAACTTTGTAATATGGTACAACATACTGAAAATTTTCTAAAAGCGTTTCAAACGAAATCAATTGTTTGTAGGTAATTTTATTTTATTCTGAAATTGCTTTACTTAAAATGTTTCCATGAAAATAAAACTTGATATTATCATAATGATTTTTAACAGAGAATTGTTAAAAAAAATTCATTAGCTTGCAATATTTTCACACAAGATTGATAAGATCATATGGTGTTTTAAAAGTCTTTGTAATAGTTTTTCCAACGAAATATTCAATTTAAGAGTAAGAAATTAAAATAAATTATTTCTTTTAAAGAATTTTTTCGTCAAATTTAAAAATTCATAAAACACAATTACTCTTATCACTGTACGTCTACATAAAATTTGATCAAATTTTTAAATCTAAGACTGTTGTTTCCGAATGCTTCATTGGATAGGAAAAAAGAGTGAACAACCAACGAGCTTTTAATCACAATAGCCAATCACAAAGGAAGAAATATTATTATCTATATCTCCTCCTTCATAACGCTTCTTAGCCTATGAAAATAAATTTAACCAGTTCTTCAACTATAATTGTGAACATTTATTTTGCTATAAATATTAATTTTTCTAAAACAACATTTTAATTTTTAACATAATTTTTATATTTATATGAATGAAAAATAAAAATATTTATATTTATTTTTGCGCAATGCTAGAAAAATTATAAACTAACAAACAGTTATAGACCTAATATCAGCTTAAAAACAATAATGCTATAAAAATGAACTTTTCATAAGCTAAGCAATAAAAATAAATACAGTGCGAATTATTTCCATTTTAATTGGTTTTGTTTTAAAAATAAAAATTATAAATAAATTTTATCAGGTAATATGTTAATCAAAAATTAAAATTTATTACAAAAAACATAACTAAGGAAGCGTCAGAGCTTGTTACAAGATGAATTATATATTAGATTTATGAAATAAAAAACGTACCACCCTGACTAACTTTTGATCTAATGATCGAATTTTCACGTACTAAGATTCAATCTTAATGGTTTAAGGAGGTGACCTCAATGATGCAAATTAATTTGAGTAAAAGATATATTAAATTACGAAATAAGTCATAAGAAAAGTATTTTCTCTGAATAAACATATTTTTCTTATAGGGGTAGCCGTAATTTGGGAATTATGATCCCAATAGTTTGGTCATGAGAGCAGACCAAAGATATGATCTCTTAATTTTAATTTTGCTTTTTGCATCTTTCGCGATGTCTCGGGAATTTAAGAAAATTAAAAAAAAAATTGTACACAATTATAAAATTCGTTTATCCAAAGATAATTTATATGCAAAAAATAATTTTCAATAATTATTTATTCTTTTTTATTATTTTATTTAATAATACTCAGAGAATTTGAATTGCTAGGTAAATAAATTTTAATATCATTTCAAAGAATGTAATTTCAAAATTTAATATACAAAACTTGAATGAAAACTGTCGAACAGGTCCTGAGAAATTGAAGTTTAAGAAAGTCAGATATTTAAAAACTTCAAACTGGACCCCCTGGATTTTTTTTATCCTAACAAACTGGAAAAAAGGCACCAACAAAAATGAAAAGCGATTTTAGAATTATCTCTTTGTGTTATAAAAACGAATAAATTATCCAATAAAAAAATGAAACAAATGTAGCACTTGTTTCCTAAACATTGAGGAAAATCACTAAAGAAATAAATGTAATGAATACTTAAAAGTAACTAACAATATATGCTCCAGAAAGGAGGGGGGGGGTGAAAGGATGCCCTTGCACCCCTTAGAAATCCTAGGAAACAAAACTATGTTCTGCTTGCAAATGTTATTAATTATTAATTTTAATTAATTGCAAATGGTCGCAATTAAATTGAATATACTCTGATTAAAATTTTTTTTCATTAAAATCTAAAGCTATAATTAATTTTTTTTCCAAATTGGAAAGTATAGCAAAAACAAATTATTCAATAATAAATAAATAAATGTTTGATAGAAGATTAAAAAAAATTTTATTCTAGAACACACTGTTTTTTCCTTTGTAATAATAAAATAAGTAATTTAAAAAAATTAAAATGAAGCTAATATTAATTGCATTTTTTTCATGTTTAAAATTTAAATATCATTAAAAATGTAAATTTTTCACCAAATAGTGGTTTTCCTTTATATACTGGTATTCATTAAATTATTGAATCAGTGAAATTTTTTGATGCGCAAGTGTAAAATTATATTTACATTTAATTAAAAATTTAATAAATTTTTCAAACGGTTTTTGAGTTATTTTAATAAATATATTTCCCTGCTTGCACCCTTTTAAGTAAAGTCCTGCTAGTGCCCTTGACTCACAAAAAAATAATCTAAGCTCATATGGGTGAGTGTTTGAACTATGCTTGAAAAAGAACGCTAGGCATCAATATAAAAGTGTCTCCAAAGTATAAATAAATTTATGAATATTGTCATCGTTCGATATCGGTGGCGAAAATGGACAACTCAAACCTTTTATTAGATTTTATTACTTTATTTAAGGAATAAAAACTTTTTTGTAAGCATGTTACAAGGCAAATAAAATCTTAAAAAGCATAGTTTGGCTAGACAGTAACCAAAATGTTATGAGATGTCACTTTGTTTTAAACCATTACAAATAAGCAATTGATTATCGAAGAAATCAACGTATTCCCCATAAAACTCTAGAATATATTTACTCTTTTAAAATGAGAAATTTTATTTATACCCATACTAAATTTTAGTGGAAAATAGTCATTTTTCTTGGTGTGATAATGTTTCTACAGAAGTATCTGTTAGCAGCACAGAAGTATCTGTTACCAGCTTTGAATAATGGACATGATGAATGGTACCAAAGGAGTTATCGGTCTGGATTCTTATCTGTTACTGGCAAAGACAAATCGGTGAACAGATAATGCATGAAGGTAAAACGATAAACTTCAGTTCGAAACAAAAGAACAGTTACTATTTTGCAGGAAAAAGGTGACATTTCTTCTTTGTGTACTGCTCTTTCTACAACTATCTTCAACCAGTTATCCTGTAATAAAAATGGTATAATTTAGAAATGCTTTTGATTTTGAATTTGATATACTAATTACTAATGATATACACAGCATGCAATGTATCGTGGGAAAAACCTTAATTAACTACCTTAAAATTTGCTCAAAATCATAGTGAATAAAAAATGCCATAGGATGCAACAAAAACAAGAAAAGGATTTTAATGAGTTGTTTTAAGCAACTACTGTTCTCTTCACTGTTTACATGATAACTCTCACTGAGCAACTTTGCTTTAGAGTTTGATAATACATAAATATTTAGCAATGTATATAACAAGTAGTACAAGTAGTAGTATAACTATGCAGTATGGGTATATACTATGTAGTATAACCCTTATATCTATAGTATTACTATAACAAGTGGAGTAGTAGTATAACAAGTAGTACACAGCTATAACTAACAGTAAACTAATTGAAAAAGTCGACGCTTTGGAAATCCAACTACGGAATATCCTAATCAGATTGAATTGCTATTGTCTGGAAAGCTATTGACTCATTCAGATTTAATTGCTTAGGATTATTGCAATCCTTGAAAAGGTTATTTGCAATGAGCCTTCACTTCTCTAGGCTTTATGAAAACAGTTTGAAATAAATCAAGCTAATAACATAGTAAATATGTTTTTTTAACCCAAATACATCTGAATTCCCTTCAATAAACTTTAAAAATGTATCAGGATGATTAAAAAGTAGTGGATTTTTTTCCAATTAGTCAAGCGCATTAAAAAATGATGGCTGCTGATTGCAGAGAGTCGAAATATTCGATTAGTCTATAACATATTCAACAAGTATTTGAATGAAAGAAATTAAATATTTTAAAACAATTGGAGTTACCTACCTTGATTCCCTATGTACCTATCTATAATATCAATGCATTTTAATTTGACATTGTATTGATGTTTTAAAACATGCTCGTTCTTTTTTTTCTCTGTTTTAGAAGGTTTCATAATATATTATAACAGCAGGAAATCTAAAACAAATTTAGAAAATATTGCGTAACATTAAAAATAATAAATAAATAAAAACATGAAAGAAAATGTCTTCTTAATTTTTCAATCTATATCTATATATCAAGGGAAAAATTTATTTTTAGCTAAAAATACTTTCTATCATTTTTTGTGATATTTTAAAATCTGGTATGTAGATTTTAATTTCCTAAAGACAAATTAAAATAATTTATCGCAACTGCGTGACGCTTGAAATATATACTATTTCACTTTATACTTTTTGAGATCATTTCCAAGTAAACGGGATAAAAAATTTTAAAAGAAAATTTATTATTATTTTTATAAATGAATACATCAAAATCTGATGTACATATTTCAACTTTCCGTCTCCAATTTTAAGAGGATTGCATTTAAAATTTTAATCGAATGATCAAAAAATCAATTTTAAATATCTCATGTCATTGAATATCATCTTCCATCTAAGGAAGATTATGATCCAAATTATTTATGAAAAATAAGACACTCAATCTTTAAATTTCGAGCAATTAAAAACACTATACTTTTTCATCTTCTAAGAGATAAAAACACATTTTCTGTCATCATTTAAAAGAGAATTAGAAACAGAAAAATCAACACTTTAAAGATTAATGACAATCACATTTGTACTTCGCAAAATGAGAGTAGCCAAATAAAAGAGATCTTTGCATTTGTAGAGATACATTAATCATCATTTGCTAAATGAAATTGATATATTGCTGTCGAACGGGAAAAGAAATCCTAAGCAACCAAAATAGCGGATTTCTCCCAAAATATTATCGAAAGATCAAGAACTCAATCAAATCGCTCATCTCTTTGAGGCTCTTCTTCTTTCCGTCTCCAATCTTAGGAAGATTATGATCCAAATCATTTGTGGAGAATAAGATCCAAAGGAGGAAAAAAAATCTCTCAATCTTTTAATTCCGCACAACTACAAACCCTTCAATCCTTCAGGTCATAAAGTTGGTCTTCTCGGCTCGTTAAAAAGAGCCAGGAAAGCTATTAATGGCTGTATTGGCTTTTTCCCGTCCCTTCTGATAGCTTCGTTAGAAGAGTAACACGTGATTCGAAAATGAATGCCTGTCACACACTTTCTTCCTTCGTTTCGTTCTTTTTTTCCGTTTTTGCGAACCCTCGAGATGAATTATTTCATTATTAGTATTATTATTATTCTCCCCGTTCGCTGTTTGCAAAACGAAATTAGAATTGTTGAACGATTCTCGATTGAGAATCGATGTACACACTTCAAAAAAATATCGATATCGAATTGCTATCGATGCGTCTTCTGAAGAAACGTGTATGGTAAACTTGATTTAAAAAAAGAGGAAAAAATGGTAAAAGGATAAAAAGAAACTTTTCGGTTTTTTTTCTTCTTTTTCCTCCTTAATTTAGGAGAGCTATTTTAGAAATGGGTGGGGTGACTAGAATAAATCGAATTAAATATTTTAACAATACATCTTATTGATATTACATTCCGAATTTTCTTTTTTAAACTATAAATTGGAGATTTGTTTGTGAGAATACTGTGCCTGGTATAAAATACAAGATATGAGAAAATTTCACTCGTATGTCATCATTTGCATATTTAAAAAACTAATGTGCAAGTAAGAAACCTAAATCTGAATCAATATTATATGTATAAAAACTCTGTGCATCCGATCTTAGAAATTTTTTTATAAATTGCTGTTTTTTTTTTTTCTTTTTTAAACGTAAGCATTTAAATATTTATGAGCATAGAATAGAAGTTTCTAAACTTAAACTATGTAGAACATGTGAATTATTGATTTTTGTAAGGTATATATATATATAAAGAACTTGGATAGAAAAAATAATAAAAAAATATGAAAATTATTAAAAATTAAAAAAAAATTGATAATAAAAATTAGAGAGCTAAAAGTTAGAAACTGAAACAAAGAAAAGATATCGTCTTCAGTTCACTCGATTATATCCGCAGAATTAGTGCTTTCTAATATTGTATCAATATAGATTATGTTAAAAAGAAAAGTGTATTCATAGAAGGGTGACAAATTAATATTTCAGAGAAAGTGAAAGACTTTATCACACAAAACCTGACGACTTACTTTTGAGAAAGGCGAGATTAAAGACATCAAAAACACTTTGATTGTCCCCAAAAAATTCAGAAATGTTTTTGATAAATCACCTTTTACTTTCCTTCAGCAACATGGAGCTGTTTTTCATCTTTAAATTAGGCCCTTTTTAATAGTGAATCCTCAGACTTTGATATAGTTTTTGCTTATTCGTTTTATGCGTAACTGTAAATAAACATACTGATTTTAATTTCATTACTGACAGAAATTCTAGAAATATGTACTAAAGGACAATTACAGGACAAAGAGTATAAACTTTGATTTTCGACTCAAACAGTAAATTAAAATTATCTTCTATTATACGTTATTCTTCAAAATCAGTCTATGCATCCTTAAAAAATGCTTCTTCATGTTAATCATTACAAAATTACATTCAAATTTGCGTCAACTTCAGATAGTTGACTCATTTTGGGACAAAGTTATTTTAGTTCAACCACATTTCTATTTTAGAAAATTGGAACTTCGTCATCACAGTTAATATCTGAACATGATTATACGACATTACAATTCGTTGAATGTGAACTAATTTTAAAAGTAAAATGCATCCTTTTTCATTTCTAATGAACTAATTTGCAATCACAATACTTGTAATATGTAAAGTTTAGATCAAGGTCACAGCGTCTTTTTGAATTTGACTTTCTATTTCCCTAATATAATGTCGTTTTTAATGATATTTAAAATTTATTTTAAATATCATTCAAACTGGCACTGTAAAATATTCCGGATTGAATTGTGGTAAAAAGTACTGGCACTTTGAGTGCCGCTACTTTTTACTGTAAAATTTTACGGAGCAAAATATATGATATACAATAAGTTTTGCACTAATATTTATTGTAAAGTCACTAAATCACAGTAATTAAAAAAATATTACTGTGAAAGTTAAGGTATTAAATTTATCGGTAAAAATGAATTTTACGGATGCTGCTCTCAGGGTGCAAATACTTCTTATAATAATTTGATCCGTAATTTTTTACTTAGAAGATTTCGTGCAATGATTCCATAAATTTAAATGTATATTTCTTCTATAAGTATTTCACATACATACACTTTTTAACTGCTCCACAATAGCGTAATTTGTATTATGTAAAATTTCCGTCTTCATTTTTTTTAAATTTTACTTTTAAATTTCAAGACAAAATAATTTCAAACATACATTTTAAGTATCATTAAAAACAAAATGTCATATAATGATTCATTCAATTACTTGCAGCATCCGTACTCATTGATTCATTCAATTACTTGCAGCATCCGTACTCATTGATTCATTCAATTACTACTAAAAGTAATTAATTTTCACTCATATCTTAAATAATTCGCAATAACCAGTACGGCATCTTTTCAAATTTAATTTTTAATTTTGAGAATGCGTATTTCATTTAAATATCCTTCAAAGCAGGTGTATTTCACTTTAAATATCCTCTTAAACGAAATTTAATCTAAGGGTTGTTTCAATTACTTCCAGCATTATTCGTAGTCATCCATATTTAATGATTCATTCAAGTAGAAATGCAATTCAGATTCTTACACTTTTTAAATGCTATGTAATCCGTGTTTTGTAATTTTTAACGTTTTAGTCAACGGCACGATACTTTTTTAATTTTAATTTTTTTATTTATGAATATGTATTCTATTTTAAATATCATGAAAGACAAATTTTCATAAAAAATAAGTAGAAGAAAATTTTTTTCATAGACATTGGTACCTACATTTTAATTTAGAAACACAATAATAATCAAAACCAATCTAAAGTTGACTAAAATGTTATTAAATTTGCTTTATTTTTTAGCAATTATAAAGTCTTACTGTCAGCCATTTCAATATGAAATTATAAGCTTTTGTTTTTAAACTGTCTTTTCTCAAAGTGCACCACATTTTAAATCAATAAAAATAAACAAATGAAAACTTTTTTTTTTTTTTGAACATATCTAAATTCTTTTAAAGCTCATTCAACCGTTACAATAATTTGATTTCAAAACACAACAACATCTGCACTCGGCAAAACAATAATTTTTCTCCAACTCTGACAAAAATTTGAAATGATAGTTGAATGAGATAAACAACGAATCAAATCGTCTTCAGTCTCCCCCTATACCCCAACCCCCTCAAGCTTTTGTCCTTACAATTTTTAAATTCTCTTTGGAATGACACGATACAATAAATGGCATTTTTCAGAGCATGCGAAAAGGCGAAAATGATATTTTAATCTTAAGTCTCTTTCCCGTGAAAGAGACACACACAGCAGCGTTTTCTGTGCGTGATATTTTCGTGTGGTTCTTTTCCCCCAACCCCTCTTCAAAACTACCATTTTTCGTAAATCGGTAGTATAGTGTTATCAAAAAGTAGTCAGAGATTCGCTTCTGAAGCGCCCCCTGGCGGCCACTGCCTGTCGAACGGATATTTCGTGCCAAGAATTCATCAAACTCTCTCGCTTTCGCGATGAAAAGTAAAAATAAAACTTGCTAATTCGGGGGTGCCATGCACCAAAATCGTTTGATGTCTGCTGCATCGTCTCTCGTTTAAAAACGTTAGTTTAATGAACTCTGAATGGTTAAAACAAGTGCAACATTGTTACTTTTGGAATTGGTAACGACCTCCATAAATTTCACACGTCGTAAAACGATTGAAGGATCACGAAACGAAATCAATCTCTAAATCTTCAGTCAACTTGATTCATTTGATACTTTTCGTATCAACTTAGATCATTCATTAGTTAGTTAAATTCGGATTGCATCAATGTCTAAACATTCAACCAACTAATCACATTCAATTAGTTTATTTTCAGTAAATTCAATTCCTCTATTTTATTTTCAATCAACTTTTTCTGTGCACTGCAATAATGTTTTGGTTTCTATTAGATGATAAAAAAATTTCTGGATTGCGTCAATCTCTAAACATTCTGTCAAATAAAAATATTCAAGGATTCAGTTTATTTACTTTTAATCAATTTATTGCGCACACTAGAATAATATTTTTATTTCGATTAGACGATAAAATTTATTTTTATTTTTGGGTCGTATCAAACCTTCAGTCAAAAATATGCAAGATCGTAGCCCTTCAGCCAACAAAATGCATTCAATATTGCATTTTTCTTTCAACTTAGATGATAAAATTCAATTTATTTTATTTTCATTTTTTGCGTAAATTATCGTACTTAATATATTTAGATAAAGTATGTAATTTTATTTATTTATTTTATCATCAGATTGTTTGTTTAGACTTCGATGATAAAATTGAATTTATTCTTATTTTTGAATCACATCCATTTCCATACCTGCAGTTACTTGAATTACAATCTATCTACACAATCTTGCAATACAATTGAATTGCAATACAATCTATAAAATTTTTAATATGAACACATACAATATTACCATTCTTAGTTTTGACTTGGTTTATTAAATTTTAATTGTATCCATTTTAGAAAATGGAGTGGATAGTATTTGCAAAGTCTTACAAAACATTCTTAAGACATAGAAGTGTAGCTCTTATTTAATTATTATAACACATATTTAAATGGCCGGTTCTGAGGTTTTCCCGAGAAAGCTGCTGAAGCAATTTTCAAATACTTACTTTTTTTAAACTCTTTTACTTAGTCAAGGGAATTTGTAGTTTAAAAAGTTTTTTCCTGATAAAAATTAATTTTAAACGTAGATAAAAATTTAAAAAAAAAAATTTCTTCTTCTTTTTTAAAGATAAGTACAGCAATGGGAGAAAAACAAATAGAAAGAATATTAGTTAATAGTAGCTACAAACACCTTGATTTAGAGGCGAATTTAGGTTTTAAGCGAATTTATTTCATTTTGCAACAATTGTTCTGAAAAAGACATCCCAAAGCTTCAAATAGCTGCATCATGAAAACCTCATTTCGAGGAAGAAAGTCAGATCATAAACAAATAAATGATTTTACAACTGTATAATGTTATTACTTATTTTAACATTAGCATCAGCGAAGGAACCGTGAGCTTCTTTAATGTTACGTTTTGCATTAATGATTATTTCAGGAGGATGTCAAGTCCACCATGATGGAGACTTAGAAGGTTTGACTTACATTTGCCCATCTTTATTTAAGATCTTTCAACAGATTAATGATTATTATATACTCTCTACTGTAAATTATTGATTGATTTATATCAAATATAAAGTTTTCAGTTAATCAGGATGAGGATAGGACACTGTCAGAAATTTTGGATAATGTTGTACCATAATGTGGTTCAACTTTTTTGGCGAGCAAATACGGCGCAACTTGAACCGTATTAAATTGTAAGTAAGTTCTTAAATGACTTCAGAATGACGTCTTGGAATTTTGTCACTTAAATATTTTTTATTATGATACTGGTAAGATTAAAATCCATTTTTCTCCAAGTCTTTAAATAAAATAGTTTTCTAAGCCCAAAACAACAATGATGACGTAAACGTTTTCCTTATTTCAAATAATTTGTGAGCTTGTTTAATAGTCTATGTTTAATATACAGTCAACCCCGCTTAAAGTAATACCATTAGTTCCAGTCAGATCTATTGAATTAAAAATGTTATTTGATAAAAAGGGTTAGTGTATTATTCTATCTTAAATGCTAACTTTTACTTTCTAATGAACAGATTATTTTTTTGATTAACTAAATTCCATTTTATGGTAAATAGACAATTATAATTAAAGCTGCCATTGTTATTATGAAAAAAATGTTAATCAAAATGCTAATTATTGCTAATGCTAATTAAAGGTACAATAGTGGTTCTGTAATATTATTTTATTCCTTTCGAAATCATTAATTGAAGACTATTTTCATACCCGTTTAATTTGTCATTTCATCGAAATTAGATTTTCTCTTTCTTTTCCTACTAAGTCTTCCATGACTTGCGTATTCTTTTCAAACTCTTTCTGGTTTTATTTGCTTTCTTAAATTTTTGAAACTTGAGAAGTTTCAAATTGATTTGATATTCTGTTTAGGATTTTTTAAAATTTATTACTTCTAAGACTTCTATCTTTTCGATTAACTTGAATAATTCCTTTTCGCGCTCATCGTGCGACCAACTCAGAGATATTCAGTAGTGTAATTAATAATTATTCTACTTTAGAGAAATACGTACTGTACACTTGTGCGTTAGCAGGTTCTTTAAACTTTTTTCTTCATCTAAGGTAACAGCGCACCAGGAGAGGACCACAAGTCTTGACTGCGAAACAAATCACTCTATACTTATATACTAACCAAATGATGTTTGAGTGAAGTAAATCAAAGAGGGGTGAAACCCCCTTAGTTTTTTCAAATGTATAACTGCTAGCAAAATTTGATTCATTCTTAAACTAACACCTGTTTTGAGAAACAAATTTGCATGAAATCCCTATTAAAATGACAACCTATTGTATTCTCTATTTCTTATTCGAAAAACGTAAACTCCATTCCAGATAGTGAAAAAATTTTTAAATTTTTTTTTCTTCCATTTCATGACTTTTGTTTTATACAATTAAGCGAGAACTGAAAACAATAAATAATCACATGAATATAATAACGATATAATAATAATTAATGAAAAGCAAACTTTAATTTTAATACCTTACATGATATATTCTATATTTTAAACTTGGTGCATTGTAAAATTCAATTCAAATAATTTGCTCAACATGCCAGACACTTTAAATTAAAGGCTAACTAAAATTTGAACATTCGGTATAAATTTGAGACTTTAAAGTTGATGTAAAGGAATTTTGCCATCATAAATTTTTAGTGAACAAATTGTCTTTTTTTTAGCTTTCTTTACCAGTTTTAATGAGGAATATTTAGTAGAATAAGTTTGAATTTTTAAATAAGAAACAAGGTATTTATAAAATTTAAGTATGTTTTATTATAAATTTGAAACTCTTTACTTGGGGTCAAGTTAACCAAATTAGCATACTTTGCAAAAGCTTTGCGTTTTGTTTTGTTTTACTGAAAATCTTCTAGAAATGAAAAACATCCTATTTTTATATATTCCGAAAATTATTTAATACAAAGTGATGCTAAGTTTTATTTTCAGTCTGAATCTTATTTTGAGTGCTGAAATATTTATTTTCATATTGAAAAAAAAAATGTTGCAAATTAATAAGAAAAATAGTAATGTCGTTAATGCTATGAAATTAAATTAATATATTGATATATTAGTTTTATGAATATATTAGTATATTAATTAATATATTCTGAGAATATATTAGTTTTGTGATTTGTTAAAGCTTATTAAAATATAAATCTGAGAAATATAAACTTTAACTTTTGTAACCTAATTTCCCACAGCAAATAACTTTTGCACTTATTTTTATAGGTGGTTCTCTTATAGAATTTTCTAATTCCGACTGGACCTTATTTAATTTCAAAACAAAATAAAATACTTCACTTACAATAACGCATACATTAGGTATATTCGTTATTACAGTGTTATGAATGTGTTTTTAAGTAAATAACAATGCACCTTGAAAATAAGTTTTCAAATCACATTAATTTTAAAACTAAAAAGTTATGCTTTGGTTAAAAGTACACGATTTTTTAATGAGTAAAAAAAGAGTTTTACACAGTTTTTCAGTATTTTAGAATTATATTTTAACATACAGTAGAAAGAAAAAATACCTCTATAAAACAGTGATTCAGTAAGTAAACAACATAACATTTCATTAGAGAACCAACCACAAGCAGGAAAAGATAGAACTTTGAGCCGGAAGAGCCATCTAGTGGCGAAAAAATTAAACATTGATGGATTAATTTTTGAATTATTGTTTATTATTCTAAAACTTAATCCCGAATTAGGAGAGATGCCATTAAATTTCATCTTATTAGTAATAAATTACTAAAATAAAGGGATATGTAAATAATTAAATTATAAATTAATTGCATTTCATAGCACAGATTACTTTCTTTATTGTAAGTTGATAAGACTCTTTATTAAATTAAAAATTGTTTTTCATCCGTAAAATTTGTTTACTTTCAACTTTTGTACTATGAGTTTATAAAGTAACTTGTTACAGTTCGTAAACTATCGATTTATTTCGGAATATGTTTTATTAGTTTTCACTGTAATCTAAACGCTTCTCGAAATCAAATCATAATATTTTCTGATTTAAAATGAAAATAAAATTTTCGAAATTATGACATTTTTCAAGAGTATCGGAGGAAAATAACGAGGAAATCACATCATATTTTTTTTCTATATTTTTAAACACATAACTATGCAATGCATCATTTTATTATGTGTACTTAGTTATTTACTTTTTGAAACATGCCAAAATTAAAATTTTTTTAAATGAATTTATAATGTTCCATTGAAGATATATTTGTATTGGATACGGATTTTTTTTAAAATTTCTAATAGCAAGATTGAAAAACAATTGCAGCAATAAATACAAAGAAGCAGATAGAGGACAAGCTTGAAAAAAAAAAAAAAAAAAGACATAGAGAATAATTGGAGCAGGCTATAAGGATTTTAAAGTTCCTAAATATTATATTTAACAAATTACTTGAAAATTTTAAAGATTTTCCCAATCAAGTGTAAGCATTTTCTTAGAGCTGTAAAATTTAAAAATACAGTTGAATTATAAATACTGAACGTTTAATTTATATTTATTCCATTAAGGGTAATTTCGATATCTACACTCAAAACTATCTTAATATTTATATGCATTACAAAAAAGAGAAAAAAATATTAGAATCTTATAATTAAAATACGTTTTATTTCCCTTTCTAGACCGTTTTAACCAATAAAACAATACTTTTCTTTTTGGAAACAAAATTATAGTTAATTAATTTAATATATTTGAACAGCATTTCATAGTTTTCCCAATAATTTAATTAGGAAAAATTTCATTCAGTACTTCTTTAAATTAAAAACACCGGAAATTGTTAACAGAAAAAATAATAGTAATACACTTTTCATTTAATCAAGCTAAAGTTAACAAAACTCTGCTATTTTTCAATTTTCAGAAAAATCAATTCGAAAAGTAATCGAAAAATAGAATTATTAAAAGATAAAGGCTTTCATGAAATGAAACTCAGAAAATATGAGCGTTTATTTCTATTAGATGTATTTTTTTTTCTTCGTTTTCTCCCTCCATTTGCTCTAAAGTTAGTGTATTTAAAAGCCAATCCATCAACTTCTTAAGGTCAAGGCAGTAGTTTTTCCCTGTTTTCTTCCCTTTTTCAGGTCCCAGGGCCAATTGTGAGAACGTTTTTTTTTCCCTTCACCCATACGCAGTGGCAAGAAATATATATGGTTGAAGAATACACATCATATCGCAGGTCACGTGTAACTTACAGCAGAGGAAGAAAGAGAAGTAATAACTGCACACAAAAGTAAAAACTTAAAATAAATAAATAAATATAAAAAGGATAAATAAATAAAATAAAACTTTCCGAATCTAGAGTCACGTTTTGACATGAGAGGTGAGGGGAGGAAACGAAGAAATGACAAGGCGAAATTTTCGCTGGGGGGATGGGGGATAAATAAAAAAGATTACAAAAAAAACGCAGAGAGTAAAAATAAAAATTCTTTATTCTGGCACATATTAATTGATGTGGAGGGAAGGGGAAGGCGGGAAATTATAATGTGGTCGGGGTAGAGGGGGATGGGGGAGAAGAAAAGAGAAGGTGGTGGGGTGGAAGGTGAGGGGAGGTATTCGCCAAAGCAAAAGGTATCGATCAAAAAGGCAATGTGAGTGTGTGTGTGTATCCGCGGAAAGTTGCTTTTCGAGCTGTCACTCAGAGAAGTGAAGGGGGAGTGAGCCTTTTTCTCCCAGCAGAGCCCGCGACGCAGACTGGTTGGACCGCCCGCCCGCCCTAGAGCACACTACCGCCCACCCAGAATTCTTCCCCAGTGCGCTCTGGCGATAGCTTTCCTTTTACCGGCACAGCGCCAGTGGAAGAGCCCAGTCGTAATTCGCGCTCGCCAACTGAACAGTCATAAACAAGTCAGCTCTTGACATCTCTTGACGCGATTGTTCTAAGTCAATCGGATGCGGCGCTCATCTTAACCGTGTGCTTTGGCGATCGTCGGCTTCGTCAAATAGTGTTCGAACTTTGGAATTTTTTTCGACTACACTACATAGTGACTTATCGAAAAAATACATTTAAATTTATGTATATTAAAAAAAACTGGACTTGTTAAAAGAAAAATGGACAAATAATTAACGCCGAACATGGACATTTTTTGAAAAAAAAATTCCCTTGCATGCAAAACTTGGGATTTTCGAATTTTTCGAGGAGAAATTCTTCGTAGAACTCAAAATAGCTCATAACACATTTTAATAGCGTTAGTTATGTTACATATATAAACTGTGAAATTCTATCGAACATTTTCTGAGGGAACATTTCGAACGTTTTCGCTTGTTTTTCCGACTGAAATAAAATGAGTTCTTATCAGTTTGTGAACTCATTAACTTCCTGCTACGGACAACGTAGCCAAGATTCCTCGAGCCAGGACTATTACACACCACAGGTGCAAGCTTACGGGGGATGCTACAGCGGACCCGGTTCACCGGTACAGCAATATGGGCCCTATCCTCAACACAATGTATCACATTTACAAAATGGAGATCATCATTTCAACAGCTGCTCGCAAAACCGCATGAGCCACCCGAACCCCAGTCAGAGTCCTCGTACCCCGACCCCCTCTGTTACTCCAGTGCCCAGTTGCAAGTATGCTGAGCCCAGTGCTGCATCTCCCCAAGATTTGAGTACTAGCGGCTCCCACCCACCTCCAGCGGGGAGTCCGGAGTCTAGAACCTCCCCTCAACCCCCGAGGCAGGCCTCGCAGCACCCCTCACCCACGCATTCTCAAGGGGTGCCCCCATCGCAGCAGACAGCGAGTCAACAGGCTAGCCCACAGCAACAGAATCAGGGCCCACAAGATTCTTCGCCCCAATCGGCACAACAGCAAGGGCAGCAGAAATCGGCATACCCATCTAATCCTCCACAGATTTATCCATGGATGAGGAAGGTTCATGTCGGTCAGAGTAAGTTTTAATAATTTCTCTTCTTATTGTTAAGCATTTTAATATAATTCAACATTTAGTTACTACTCGAAAAATACTTAAAAATCAATAGCTTTTAATTTTGCTGAAAAATAAAGTAGGGAATAAAAGCATTCATTAATTTACATTAAAAATTTACACATATTAATGGTTTAGATAAGATAACGGTATAGATTATATGGTGGTGTAGATAAATATTACCCCACCATATAACCATTGCATCCCCCTATAATCTCCACAAATATTAATGGTGTAGAAAAGTAAAGATTGATAAGAGATTTATGGAAATCACTGTTTATCTGCTCCTTATACGAAGGAACATTTTAATAAAGTTAGTTAATTATTTTAAAGATATAGGGAAAAATAAGTTCTCGTCTTGATTTGCATTAGAATAGACAAGTTAAAGTAGCTCAAAATCTAAAAAAAAAATTTTATATAAAGGTGGTAATTTTTAACCTAACAAATTACATTAAATAAAATTTAGAAAAATCATGGAAAATATTAATTTTGCGAATAACATGACATAAAAAACACAATTTATGAGCGTGGGATTTTTAATAGCATTTTTTCTATCAGTCATTGAAAAAAGTTTCAAAAGTTCATTCATTGGATAAGAATTAGATGATTAGTTTAATTAAATATTTTGGAGTGAAATTAAAATAACGTACATAAATTTTTTAACAGAAATTATGATGAATGCACTGTAAAATTATAAAGGCATTCTAAATTCATAAAATAATAAATAATAATTAGTTAATAATGTTTGGACATTTTTGTGTTTATGATTTCAGCACTAAAAAAATAGTCACAAATATTTGAAAAAGTAAATAGAATTTAAAATAGAAACATAGTTTAATTGAATCACCATGTACTTAATATTAAATAAAATGTTGACTAAATATTAAATTAAGGTATTGGATTTAGGTATGAACTCATAAAAATTTTAGAAGACTGATTGTGTCTGTTAAACTTAATTTCTGTGACATTTTAAATAAACATTGACTTAGAAAGAAATGACATATTACAAATCAATTCACTTGTTATGTTTATAATCAATTCTTATAAAATTTCAAGATAATAACACTGCATTGAAAATACTGTAATTAAGTCGGATTAAAAAAAATAACTATTACTCTACAAATTACTAACAATTAATAGTAAAGTATGTATAATTGATATTCTTTCTTTAAGACTTCAATGTAGTATAGACAAATGGTGATTGTTTATAATGTAAATCAATCACATTTTTCTGTTTATGGTAAATTAAAAAAATGTGTTGTTAGATTTTAAAAAAATGTTTTTGATTTAAATATCTGCCTTACGATTTTAAATATGAATAAACGCTTTGTCAAGAAAATAGATTTACAATAGTTGAACTTTACAATAATAACTTTCGCTCAGCTGTTTGTCGTATATTTTAAGATATACTATTTGATTTCTGAAATACTGGTAATTTTTAAGCGCCTTTTTTGCAATACACACGTAATTTCATTCTGCAATTAACTAGTTGAAAATGAAACAAGCAACAAGTGATAATCTTGTATAATAATCTATTTATAAATCTTGTTTCGTAGATTTATTAGTAACTATTCTATTTGTGCAATATTTACAATTTTTAGTGCAATTTTATCATTTTTAATATGGCCAAAAAAAGTTACGATTCATCAAGCATGCCGTTATTGATTCGCTAATTAAATTTTCTTACCTTTATGTGCACAAGTGTTTTGGTAATTAATATTTGATTTGTAAAGCATTTAAAGCTTAAATAACTTATTTACACTTTTATGTTCGTAAATATTTCTTAAAATACATAGATTAACCGATCGTGAGTTAATTACACTTGCAATTCAAAAATACTCGTATTTTGATGTCTTTATACATCTTTAGATACAATTAGCAAGATAAACAATAAAAAAAACGTATTATTTTCTAAGCTAATAATTATAAAATGAATTAATCTATTTATGTAGCTACAATGCATCAACATGCAGCAATAACATCACTTGTATTAAAACATACTCACCGACATTTTAACAGTTCGATGTAAAACAGCAACAAACCCAGTCACTACTTCGATAAATAGCGTCTACAGCTCACGCAACAACGAAAACCACAACAATCCGTCCGCCATTGCTGTTATCATTCTCCTAAACGTTAGGCCTAACTGTTTTCGTCTTCGAACGGAGTTCCGTTAGAAAATTTTGTTCGAAGAATAGAAATTCCAACGAAGTCTTGCCTCTTCGTGTACTGTCCGGCTTGTGGCTCTGCAAAAGCCAGCGATGGAGCTTTTACAACAACCAAACCCATCGTAAATATTCGACAGTGGCATGTTCTCTCCTCCCAAAGCCATAAAACGGCTCGCTTAGGCCTATAAAACTATCCGCGCCGCCATAATTTTGTCAGAGGCCCTGCTTGGAGGGTTGGCTGTTATCTTGGAGCGAGGCGTCCCGGGGCCAATTGGAGAAGCGCGCCGCGCAGTTTTATGAGGGCCATAAAATTCCTCCCTGACTGTTATAACCACAGCACGCTTACAGAAGCCACTAAACCATGTTACTTTATTTGAGAAAGGAAGGGAAAAAAAGGTTTAAGAAAAAAAGAGAAAGAAGAGTTAAATTCCTCATTTTTATTGTTGTTGTTATTGACTTGGTGACCTTGTTTTTTTAGTCAAAATAAAAATTTTAAGTCTGAATAAATTGAGTTTTATCAGTATGTAAATAGCAGTGTTATAAATCTCGTTTCAACCGGTTTAGTTCATTTATCAAAGGAACTCAATCCAACGAAAATGCATTCTAATACATAGTAAATCGTTACATAATTACGATGATTAACAATGTCATGCAATGAACAATAATAAGAAAGTATATAGCTTTAAAAAAATTGCAAATGACTGCTCAAAGTTAATAAATGCATAGCTACACTTAAAGGAGGAAAAATTAAATAAGTTATTTTAAATTAAAATAGTCAAATTCTACAATTATCGATACTACGGTACATTATTTGTAAATTTTATTATGTAAATAGTTATTTGACATAGTTCTTGGGCTTCTCCTTTTCAACGAATAAAACAAATATTTAAGATGGGAAAAAAATTCGTCACTCAATACTTAATATTCTAATTTTTGTTATGCATGATTTCTGACCAATAAATATTTAATAAATATAATTTTAAATAAATATTTAAGAATTTGGTAATAATTATGCTTGATTTTCACTGCATTGTTCCCTTTTTGATTATTAATTCTTTTTATACATCAAATAAAATAATAACCAGGAATTTTCTTCGTTTCTATCGTAAATATTCTCTAAAGTTCGCTAACAAATATTTTTGTTAATTTTTTTCTGAATCATTGATCTATGTAAACATAACAACAGGTCGTAAAATAAAAAAAACATCTATCCGTTTTATTTTGGTTTCTTTAAAAAGTGCATATTTGCAGAATTCTTTATAATAAACAAATGCTAATATTTTATTTCAATAGTATTTCATAGGATAATTTAAATGATATTGGTTCGAGAAAAAATATTATTTAAGCAAATATTTAAATCTGAAAATTTCTGTTAATTAAATTTCCATTTTTCGAAGAAGTTATCATAGGCTTATACATTTTTTCAAATCAGTTTGAACTATTATTAACTATCTATAGCTCAACTAAATAAAGAACTTTTATTTTTCTAAAATTTTTTACTCTATTTTATTCATTTGAACAACCAAATTTTTAAATAACAGATTTTCTATATTGTGTATGTTCGGTGTTTTCTACATGTAGCACAATTTTTCAATGCCTTATATTTGTTGAACAAGATATAATATGAAAGAAATTATCATAATTCTATTTGCATGAACAACATAGGAAGTTAATCTTACTAAAACAGGCTGTTCTTCAAAAGCTTCTCACAATTAAAATAATAATGAAAAATAAAATCAACGTCTTTAGCAAAAATTCATATTTTTGTTAATTTTTGTGAGTTTGTAACAGTAATTTATGACTGTTAGGTAAATTTTGGTCTATCTTTGAAGAGCGCCCTCTATGTTATTCAAAAAAATGACGAAAATTACCATCGGTATTTTGAAAATGAAAAGCGTTTGTAATTCAATTTTTTATATTTAAAAAGTTAGTTTAAAAACATAAAAATAAGCAAAAATTGGGAGTTGGGATTTTTAATTAAGTTAAAAATCTAAAAAATTGGCAAATTTTAGAAAAAACTTAGCAATTTTGTTAACATTCAAGTTATTTGCCCATTTGAAAATTCATGAAATTCTTTGCAGCATGATGTTTAATAAATACCGTCCTTAGTATATATTTTTAGAATCCTTATCAAAACGAAAAACATAAAAGTATACATATAGGAGGGCACAAATTAACATTGAATCAAGAAAAGAAATTCGCTTTTGAAATCTGAGAAGTTGCAGTAGGGGAAAGCTGACGTCATAAATATCAAAATATGTTTAATTGGAGGTCAAAACTTGAGGATATTTCTAATAAATGAATTTTGAATTCTATCACAATAAAAAATGTCTTGATGTCTGTTACATTTGCTTTTCGCTTTCCTGTCCTGTATATTGACAATTTTCGATAGCGTTTATGTTTTTTCCACAGTGAAATATTATTTTCCGATCCACGGTATGTGTGTTTTTGTATTTTTTAAAATTTCTTATAATGATCAAGGGCGGTCTTTACAGAAGACCTTGTATTGAGTTTAAAAAATTAAAACTTAGTTTTGAGTTTAATGCACTCGCATTTTTTTCTTTTTTCATTACTAAAAAAAAAAGTTTCAAGGAATCCCTTTGGTGATTGGTAAAGAATTTTTCTAAGATTTTTTCGGTCTTTTTACCTTGTACCTAATTTATTTCATAAAATTATTAAGATTTAATTAAGTTGCCAATTTAATTATTAAGATTTAATTAAGTTGCCAATTAAGTTGCCAACTGCTGAGCAATAAAAAAAATTCTACTTTTGTGAACTTTTTCTAAACATTTCACTTTTATTACAAAAAGGCATGCGACTTGTTTTTTCCCAAAATATATGATTCATGGTTCTAAATGACACTCATGCAGAAACAAAATTGCATTCAAATGCCAAGTGTCACAAGGACTTGTTTTATCAGATACCATCAAAGTATAAGATTTGAAAGATTGCCATAATGTTGTTTTTGGATTTTATCATGATGACACTTTTTGAATGATATCGTTTGAGACAAACCTGCTGCCCCCTAGAATAGGAAGAAAAAAAAAACATTTTGGGGGGGGANTCTCAATAAATATATATATGTCTATATATATATAATGACAGATTTAATTTAATTTTTTTTTAGTTACACCATGTGTAATTAAACAGACATAAAATTTTTTACTGTATATAATACGTCACGTTATTTCTAAAGATCATCATAAAAATAATATCAAAATTTGTTTTAGGCGAAACTGAATAGTAAATTAAATTATGATAATAATTCCGATATAACAATAAAATTTTTAAGAGATGATAAAAAAAAAGTGTCAATTTTCTAATTTTTTTTATCCAATCGATTATAATCTGTGTATGCATATTATGATAAAATATATCATCCTAGAAAAAACAATTTTTATAAATAACTATCGCAATGTAATGACCAAAGTTAACCATTTGACGGCTAAACCAAAGATGAACCATTTTCAAACTTAAAAATTTTATTATACCCACCTAGTTATAATAATAATTTGAAATGGCTGGTTCTTTATTTAAGAATTTATTTAACACAAACAACTATTTTTCGCTTTTTCTAAATTTAAGTAATTTTTAACAATGAACAAGCAGAACAAAAAGATCGCCTTTGATCATAGAGCAATTTAGAGATATGCATTTAATTTTTCACTTCAGATTTTATTAAACATTTTTGATTTACAATTCCTCTTTTTTAAATAGTTAAACCAATCGATTATAAACGATAATTCGCTATAATTTAATCAAACCTAAAATCGTTATAATTTAACGAATTGTATTTGGGGCAATAAAGTCATTAATAATAAGCAGATGTTTGTTTGGTGAATGATATCGATAATTATATTGTGTGTCATACTATTCAGTTAATACTGAATATTGACAAAGAGACCGAGACAATTCATTATGCATTGTCTGTAATATGCATTTTCACCTCTAGCAGTACTCAGCATAAATTATGATAACTAACAATCCTTGAATTTCATTATAGGAGACAGTTATGTTTCTTTGATTGGTAATCACAACTTTCAACAAGGAAGTTATTTCAAGTTTTAAATAATTTATAGCTTTTTCTTTGCTCTCAAATGTCGACGTTGTTAAAAGTATGGTAATGTAACAAAAGAATAACACAGCTTTCAAAGCCTAATTTATTCATACGCTTTACACGTATTAACGATGTTATATATAGGGGAGAGTGGGGTCAATTGTAACATTTTTTACTTAACTATTTTTAACTAACAANGCTTTACACGTATTAACGATGTTATATATATATATATATTTTTTTTTATGGAAGAAGATTGCCTTTAAACTTATAGTTTCATAAAAAAGTAGAATTGTAAGTTCAATAACTTAGTAAGCCTTTTATAGCTTGTGATTTATTTATAGCTATTGTTTTCTTTTACTTGCAAAAGTAAATTCAGTTTTTGTTCCTTAACAAATAATTATTTTAAATATATTTCGAAATGCGTTGTTAAATATGTTAAAAGAAAGTTCTATAACTCTTTAATCCTTTTATAGCTTAATTGTTTTGTTTTAAACTTCCGAACTCGTGAAAGTATATTCAGCTTTTTTTTTTTTTACAATTTGGTGCAGATGGGACCATAGTGTCCTTTATGTATATACATATACATTTCTGGCGATCAAATTACAATAAAAAAAATATATGGGTACGTTTTAATTGTAAATAAACAGTCTAATAATTGCTAAAAATCTCTTATATTATTGAAAATATGTTTGTACTAAAATGTAAAATACAAAAAAAAGTGGTTAGAATTTTTTTAAATCCATATTCAAACATTAATTAATAATTAACTTCGTAAATTAAAGAAATTTCAATGATGTATAATTATTTCTCTTAGATCTAAATTACTGCAAATAAGTGCAAAATTAAAAAATACTTTTTTGGAAGTAAACCGTGTTTGAAAGAATTTAGCTTTAAAGCAAAATAAATAAATAAATATAATAAAATAAAACATAAATAAAATAAAAATCGGCGTTTCAGGCTGTATTCCATAACCATGAATTATTAAAATGCTAAATATAATATTTTTCACTTATTTTGATCTAAATTAATACAAAATAATGAAAAAAGTATGAAAAGTATGTTTACTAAAAAAATTTTGAGTAAAAGGATAAAATAAATAGTAAGTTTTAAATGTCATTTAAAATGTATTTTTTTATAGTTGAATCAACGTGTTATAACTATTTTATTTAAAATTATT